GTTGAAGTGGCTTCGAGGCAACCTCAACACGCACCGCAGGTGATCTCCCCTGAACAGCAGGTCGCCGCCATGGCCGCCAAGGAGATGGGACTCGAAATCAAGGTGCAATTTTGGGTTTTTCGTGTGGGTCGTGAACAACCTTGAAAAAAAGCAGGTAGGTACAAAATTGGTTCTCTTTATGTCTCTTCAACTAACTCCCGACCCCTCCGTTGCCTTGTTTGCGTGCGCCCCGCAGGCATCCAATCGTCACGGACTCGGCTTGTTTGCTCAGGAGGACATGGCTGCAGGAGACGTCATGCCTATGGCTTGTTTCGGGTCTTTCGTAGTGCATGATTCTGTAGAAGAGGTCGTGTCTGCCATCAACAAGGACGGTATCCCTCGCCACCACGTGACTTCTAACGTGTGGCTGCTGTGCACAGAGGATGAGAACAGTCGTCCACAGGCCGCGCTGTACATGGTGCCTCACCAGTCTTGCTTTTTGTGGTACATAAACTCAAGCGGCTCGGACGGCGGAGATGCTAACGTGGAGACACACGAACAAATTGATGCTGAATTTCTCAGCCTCGGGAGGCAGGGCCGCGGGGCGGTACAGAGATTCGACACGTGCAAAACCCGGCCTTTGAGGAGCTGCTCGTGCCATCTAAAGTACTGGTGTTCAGACTTTCTAGAGATGTCAAGGCTGGAGAAGAACTTCTGTACGACTACCATGTGGCGGAGTCGAAGGGTAGTTTGGGTAGCGTCTAAGCAAGGTAACAGTATAGTGAACGTACGTTGGCGGTAGAACCTATTTCTTCTCCGGTGACACTTCGTAGAATACAAAGTTCGGTATAACTTAGCTTCCGATTCTGCTCACACGAACAAATTGATGCTGAATTTCTCAGCCTCGGGAGGCAGGGCCGCGGGGCGGTACAGAGGTTCGACACGTGCCAAACCCGGCCTTTGAGGAGCTGCTCGTGCCATCTAAGTAAAGTACTGGTGTTCAGACTTTCTAGAGATGTCAAGGCTGGAGAAGAACTTCTGTACGACTACCATGTGGCGGAGTCGAAGGGTAGTTTGGGTAGCGTCTAAGCAAGGTAACAGTATAGTGAACGTACGTTGGCGGTAGAACCTATTTCTTCTCCGGTGACACTTCGTAGAATACAAAGTTCGGTATAACTTAGCTTCCGATTCTGCGGGATGCGCTCGGTGTGGTAACGAGAGACGGTCTGTTTTAAATCGACGCCCACTGGGGGCGGAAGGGGCCCTTCGATGCCCTAGTACATACATAAGCGGCTGACGTGGTGGGTGTGCGCTGGCCACACGCTACACACCCTTATTACCACATACGCCAACCAAGCCACCAAGTCTCCGCATGACAAGAGATAAAGCACTCTACTGCTGTAGTGCGTCTTNGGGAGAGGGAAGCGACTGGTGTCGTCCCTTTGTTATTGGCCAGAGAGTTACCTTCCAGACTTCGTGGAAAAACAATAATAAAAATGACACTTCGGAAAAATACAATAAAGCGAGTATTTCAGATGGATCCAACCTAGGGGGGAGGAGTCTGAAATTGGTGTTTATTGGAGTTGATGAGAAGTGAGCATTTATTATTGTGTGCAAAGAGGATGTCTGCGTGCGTATAGAAGAGGAGGCATGCGCACCGAGCGAAGGCAGCTGCTCGCAGGACATTCTGTCTGCGCCCGATCACGTTGAAGCATCATCAGTGCTGGAGCACAGGGACTGCTAAACGTACGACTGGACAACACTGCTNTATTGGAAGGGACATGTCGATTGATGATTGCTATTATTTCTACGGGGAACTGGGGTATGAGGGTCTGATTGGGGAGGTGGATGTCAATGGTATGGAGTACCATTGGGGGGTCTCGGTGTACTGAGACGGCATTTTGTTTGGACCTGCCAGTTGACATGGAAGGGGAACTTAGACTCTGGAGGAGAGAGGGAAGCGACTGGTGTCGTCCCCTCGTTATTGGCCAGAGCGTTACCTTCCAGACTTCGTGGAAAAACAATAATATAAATGACACTTCGGAAAAATACAATAAATACATCGTTTGTTCCTCCGTTTCATGGAGGAAGAAGAAACATTTTCGCAAATGACTATCTCTGGCTACGCGCAGCACGAGATCTCCGAAGCGTCTAAAGAGAGTAAGGCGGCCCAGCAGCAACTGCGTGGGGCCTCAAAGAACAGCGCCTTCGAGGCGACCCTGAAGGCGATCCTCAAGGCGGCGCGGAAGAAGCGCAGCATCGCGAGGTGGGGAGCACTGGAAACGTTCTTCGAGGGCTATGTACGGCAGCTCGAGAAGAAGAGCCGCGAGGGGGATTAGGCGGGTTTCTACAGGCACCTGAAGATGATCGACGTCGAAGGTAAGAGGTCGTTCACCTCTCAGAGCATCAAGGACGAGGACGGCAAGGTCCTTCGGAACCCCACGTTTATTCGCCAACGGTGAGCACGGTGGATCCACCAGCTTCTCAACTCCAAGTCGCCGAGCATCAACCTGCATGCGGTTGACAAGGTCAAGCGGTGGCCCACGTGCGTGCCACTCGACGGCATCCCATCTCTACTTGAGGTTGAGGAAGCGGTACGGGAAATGGCCAACAGAAAGGCCGTCGGGCCGGACGACCTACCGGCTGAGCTGATCAAGCTTTTCCTGGACGGAGATCAAGGTCTCCTCCGCGAGTTCCACGCCATTGTCGTGGACGTGTGGCAGACGGGGGACATACCACAGCAGTGGAAGGATGCCACCATCAAAGTGCTGTTCAAGAAGGGGGACACCATGGAGTGCGGAAACTTCCGGGGCATCTCTCTCGTCGTACATACCGGCAAGGTACTGCTTAAGGTCGTCGCTACACGACAGAGCCACTACTACGAGCGAGAGGGCGTCCTCCCGGAGGAGCAGAGCGGTTTCCGCCCACACCGGTCGACGCTCGACATGCTGTTCGCCATCCAGCGGCTCCATGAGCTCGCGAGGAAGAAGAGTACTGCGGTGTTCGCGTGCTTCGTCGACCTCACCAAGGCATACGATTCGGT